TGGTGCCTCCATCCCCTGCTAAAGGGGCGACCCTGGGGCTGCGACGCTGGCACAGCTGTGGGGGCTGTGAGGATGCCCTGGACATCCCTGCCTGCTCCCTGCCCACCCCGGAGGGGTCAGCTCTGCTGTCCCAGGCCCAGGACCACAGCAGAGGTGCAGGCAGTGACTTTGGGGAGGGACAGGGGTGGATGTGACCCCCTTGAGTCAGGGGGACTCAACACAAAGCCCTGGGAGAAGCCTGGCTTAGCACCCTTGGGAAGAAGGGGTAAACCCAAAATCACCTGGTGCGTTTGGGGCTCCAGCTCAGCAGTGGGTCAATAGATGCAGGAGGAATCCATCCCTCTGCTTGCACCTGGATTTGGTCTGAGTTCTTCTCCAGTGTGGCCAGGAGCAAATCTGCCCCAGGGGGGACAGCGATGGCAGCCCCTAGAGGGGACTGATAGCATCCCTGAGGAACTCACAGTACCCCTGGTGGGGGGACCAGTGCCATCCCTGGGGGACTGATAGCATCCCTAGGGATACTGATAGCATCCCTGTGGGATCAGTGCCATCCCCAGGGGACTGAGAGCATCCCCACGGGTGACTGATGACATCCTGGGGTACCGATGGCAGCTTGTCTGCCCTGCTGTCCAGTGAGTCTCTGCTGCCCCAGCCCAGCCTCCCCCGAGGCAGTGAGGGACCCTGGGACACCGCCAGGGGCTGGGGTGAGTTGGCACAAGCCAAGCACTGGAGCTGTCACCTGCAGAGGTGGCTCCACAAAACATGTTCCTCGACCAGAGCCGATAGCTCCCAGGGGAAAAGAGAGGCAGAAGGGAATTACCCAAGGAGGGATTAGCACAGGCCCAGGAGATTGGAAATAACCATAATCTGGCTGTGGGGGTTATTTTGGCGCGGCGGCGGCTGCCCAGCACCCTCAAGAGCGACGCCAGGCTGAGCCCAGCTGGGGGGTGCGGGGGCTGGAGAGGGGATTAGAGAGTGCAGAGATGCTGGGAGGCACGTACGAGTCCCGGGGGTGCCCTGCATCCCCCCCGCGTGTGTGGGGAGGGCAGAGCCAGCACAGATCTGGGGCAGCTGGAAAATGAGGAGGACGAAGCCTATTAGCAGCTCAGTGCCAGCGAAGCAGAAGCAGGGAGGGAAGCGGATTTGTGGGGGGAAGGGGCAGAGACCTTGAGCTGGGGATGGCTATATTGGTCCTGGGTTTCAAAGGAGCTGTGGGGGGACAAGGGGGGCCAGACCCTCTGCTTGGGCCAGATCTCTGGCAGGAGATCATCCATAGCTGCAGGGATGGGGATGTTCCCTATGCCATGGATTTCTGTCCTGGTGCACCCCTGGTTGAAAAACAAGGGCAACGATTCCCAAACAAGGTCCTGGACAGGCTGGGGGGCAAAAAAACCCAGCTCCAAGGGCTTTCCAGCTCTATCCCTTGCTGCTGGAGAGAATGGGGAAGCAGGTGGGGGTACCCAACACCTTGTGTGAGCCTTTTTGGGGTCTGCAGGAAGGGCTGAGCTGCCGACCGGTCCAGTTCTTGTGCCTCAGTTTCCTCAGGTGCTGAGCCAGAGTTGTGCAGGGGTGGCCGTCTAGTGCCCATCACTGACTCCCATGGTTTTCCCCCTTTTCCCCTCCTCTGCAGCCCAAATCGAAGTGATCCCATGCAAGATCTGCGGAGACAAGTCCTCAGGGATCCACTACGGTGTTATCACCTGCGAAGGCTGCAAGGTGAGCCCGAGGGTGCCAGGAGCTGGGTGACAGCAGGTGAGTACAGCCAGC